TGGGTGGGTATTCTGTTTGTAATAATTGTTTGGATACACTATATTTTTAATATGCTAGTTGTGATAATTTAATGTCAAGTAAAAATGTCCATAGTCATATTTTATGTTCCTAAAGTAACAGAATGACTTTCAATCTAGAAATGACAAAAGAAATGCTAATGTAGAATTGTTTTCAATTTTTCAGAAAATTTCCATTTTCCCCCGGAAAAAACGGGGGGGGGGGGTTTCGGAGCTTCAAAATTTCCGGAAATTTTACATCTCTAGGTGTATGTCTTTCTGAAGCAGTGCTATGTTGGTTTTGTTTCTCTGTGCTACAGTTCAGATGCAGTGATGGACCATGGTTTGCTGTTAGGTTAATAAGCCGGGGGGGTGGGTCCTTGGTCACATGCGGCACAATAATTATATGCATCTGTTTCCATGGCAAACCAAATTTTAACGTTATATCTGAACTATGACTGTGAGTCCTGCAGGGCTTAAGATATGAAGCTAGGACAGTGGCTGTAATTATGATGGCAATGATTAGTGAATTAAAAACGTTTTATTGTATTTATTCTTTAAATTATCTATATGAATGTTGATGCTGACTTAAAACTGCAAGAATAAACTGTGTTGTATTTATTCAGTTTAATGCTTTCCTTGGCGAAACTAGCGTATTTTGCTTCAATTTACTCCAGCACTGAATTGTTTTGAGCTAAACTTGACCCCGTATACAGAGCTGAATATTATCCTTCCAGGCCTCATTGGTCTGTCACTGATAATTTCATTACAGGATTTATATTAGTAGAATATTACTGATGTAGAGGTGCAGTTTTGTATTTCATAATATATACACACAGATTATACTTCCACTTTCTAAACAAGACAATTTATTATGGTAGAAAAGAGCAAGAGTCCAGTAGCACCTTAAAGACTAACAAAATATGTGGCAGGGTATGAGCTTTTGTGAGTCACTGCTCACTTCTTCAGATACAGCTAGAATGGGAGTCCATCTGTCCTATTTATTGGAAAGTGGAGTGATTTCAGATGCCTAAAACAACTTCTCACCCGCAGTGACAAACTACTTAACAGTAATATGGACTCTGGTAACAAGGCCTGCAACAAACCAAGATGCCAAATTTGCTCTCATATAGATCGTAGCAGCACCATCAGTGGACCCAGCAACATCAGCCATATCATCTTAGGTTCATATTCCTGCTCATCCTCTAATGTGATTTATGCCCTCACGTGTCAGCAATGCCCTCCCACCCTCTACATTGGACAAACAGGCCAGTCCCTTTGACAAAGAATTAATGAACATAAGTCTGACATTAGGAATCTCAACATTCAAAAAACCGTGGAGGAACATTGTAACCTTCCAGGACATTCAGTTGCTGACCTAAAAGTAGCAGTTATCTTACAAAGGAATTTCAAAGGGAGATTAGAAAGAGACACTGCTGAATTGCAATTGATAATGAAGCTCAAGACAATGCATCCACCTGGATTGAATGAAGACCTAGGTTTCCTGTCTCATTACCAATGCTGATTTCTCCACACCTATTACCCCTCTGCATATCTCACCTAAATCCAATCACGTCTGCTATTATGATTTGTCTGCTAATGTCATTCGGCATCTGAAATCATTCTACTTTCCAATAAATAGGACAGATGGACTCCCATTCTAGCTGTATCTGAAGAAGGGAGCAGTGACTCACAGAAGCTCATACCCTGCCACATATTTTGTTAGTCTTTAAGGTGCTACTGGGCTCTTGCTCTTTTCTACTGCTACAAACAGACTAACACAGCTACCCATCTTGATCTATTACTATGGTAGAAAATGAGACTGCACCTGGTGATAGGATCCTTACCAACCTGTTGATATTGCTGATCGCATCCATGAGCTGCCTCTGGAACTCAGGTTAATTACAGTTGTGATATGCAGCACTGTATATGTGAATGGAGTGTTTGGCATCAGCCACAGAAAGAACAAGTATCTTCAGACCAGTCTCATTCCATTTCATCTGGTGCTCAGAGGCTGGATGGTGAAGCAAGGAGCTCAACTCAGAAATGCTTGTCAGGTATGCTGCACTTGTGGAAGACCTGGACATGGAGTTCTCACTCCCTGTGGACTGCCATTTCTAGGTGACTGCCCATGGTGTACATTCAATCACTGTTTGTCAGCTGACTGCTGCCTTCTGTAGACTTTGCAAGTGTCCACTGTGGGTGTTTTAAAACAATATCTGACAAAGGGAGCTTTGATTCTCAAAAGCTTATGCCCTGAAATTCTTGTTGGTCTCTAAGGTGCTACTGGATTTGAATCTAGGTGTTAAAACAATAAGTGACTGTGTTGTAGTGCTTGACTTCAGATGTATAAAGATAGAACTGGTGTACTGTGCTTCAGCAGTTAGAGTCATGTTCATGGTATCGATAGAGATGCTGCCATATTCTGTCATCCATGTACCCATATGCCTTACCCTCTTCGATGGTAAATACCTAGCTCTCTGTTGCCTTCATTGTGACATCATTTTTTTCTTGCATGACTTCCTGGAACTAAAGCTATAGGTATGAAACCTCTTCAGCATTCCTGTACTGCAAAAATTGTTCTTTTATGGATTATTTATTTAGAAAATGGCCAGCCTGAGAAGGTCAGGAAGCCTCCCACTTGCCTGGCTTTCTGCAAACTATGCAAAACTGAATTATTCAAGAGGGCTTTCCTACTCAGGTAATAGGGTAGCTCTGTTACAAAAGGCTTTTCAGAGTTACTTGGATAAATTATTGGGGACTGTAGTGTGTGCTACTGTGTATAGCTTGCTGTGGGTCTAACATGTCATGTTAACACTTGTGCTTTGCTTCAGTTCTGTTTTTTAGACTTCTAGTTGGATGTACAACCCACATCCTATTTCATTGTTTATTGAATGTCCCATCCTATTGATTGTATTGACTCACTCTGTGTAATCCACCTTGAGTCCCAGTAAGAAAGGCAGACTATAAGTAATGTCAATAAATAAATGTAGATAAATATTGCCTCAACATAAGAGCAAGCCAGAAAATAAATGAATTCCAGTGTGGACTGTGGACTTAATCCCCTGTGTTCTGGGTGGTACAGGCACTGGTTTGCATGGTTGCAGAATAGCATTACCCATCATGTTGGGGAGTTAGCCATGATGCTGGTGAGACAGTTGGCCATGGCCAGGTGGAGTGTGGCTGCAGCTTGGCAAGTCCCTAAGGAATGGGGTGTTGGTGCATGTTTTTGGCGAAAGATTGAGCAAGATGTGGTCAGTGTTGGCACCTGGATAATCTGTCCAGTTCCATGGAATGGAACAACCCTATCTCTTCATTCCAAGTGCTACTGCTGTGGAGCTCCTGATATCACCCTTGGCTGTGGGTTTTCCTCTGGTTTTTCCTTCTGTCCATCTTTCTACCTTCTGTTAAACTTCCACCTCTTTTTCTCCCATTTTCTTAATTTTCCCTGGCTGTCTCCATGGCCGTCTTATTTTCCTTTGTTTCCTTCACAACTTCTGCAATATCCATCTTCCCATTCTACTTCCTCCCTCTTTTTTCTCCATTCCATATAGGCAAAACAGGCTCAGTTGGTTGCTAATAATTATCAGATGTATTGAAAATAGGCATATGGAAAGACTTGTGCCCCAAGCAGGATATAACCTCTAAGTTCAGAAGGTAGAATTAACCAGGTGAAACATTGAAGTATGATTTTAGTGAGGACAGGAAAAAAAATAAAGGCCATCAAAGTCAGTATACGTACTACAAGACTGTCCTTGACAACAATCTCTGGTCATAACGGTGCATTACACATCCAGTCCACATCGGGCATATTTTGCTTGCACTTTGATGGACCACCACAATGACATGGTAGTAAGAGCTATTCTTTGCCTTATCAGGGCAGTCACAATGTTCATATGGGTTCATCTCTGTGCCTATTATTATTTTACACTTATTCTTATTTTACACAGAGCCCCTCTACCAGCGACAGATGGCTGCCCGCTCGATATGGCTGCCTGAGGGCAAGCAGTGCCTCCCATATGAAACCACTGAAATTGAAGCATGCCAACTGACATTCCAACTTTTCAAGCCTAAGCTCCATGTTGTTGGGGTCTCTATGTAATTCTTTCCTCAAGTTGTGACATCTGCAACACAATTTTAGAGGAACTCTGCTATCTACAGCTTGCTGCTGGGCAGGAGTGCCTTCCTCGGAGTCCCTCATAGAATTTTGGCACATTGTTCAGTTGTTAATGTTGCTGTGGCCTGAGGGATCTCTCCTAGGGCTATTTTGCTCTGACATTGCAAGACTGTAGCTAGGCAGCCAACAATCATTCAACACTTGCCAGTGTCCTGGTGCAGAGACTTGGGAATTCAGATGCCTTTGACTATTTTCTAGCTGTTAGCCATGAATACTGTGCTATTTACAGGAACACTGCTAGGGATGCTGTCTGCCGCCAGGATACGAAAAGTCCTGAAGGTTCTCTGAACTAAGGGATGGGCAATCAGCAGGTTATATAGCTGGTCATATACCCTGGTTCCTGACATCCAGATCAATAGAGCTTTGGAACTGCGCTTCAATCTACAGCCCTGCCTGGCCCTTCGCTGCAACATCCCCAGAAACTCCACTTTTCTTTTCTTTTTAAGTTATCTGCCTCATACTTGTGATCTTTGGGTGTTTCTTGTGGGGTGCTTGCAGGCTGTGCCAGCACTTGCTGTGGCAACTAGCCAAGTGGCACAAGAACTGCCCACTCTGATTACTACAGTTTTTGATGCCACCTTCTGATTCTGGCATGGTTAATCTCTGTCTCTTAATTGTAAATGCTGGATTGTTTCTTGAAGCGCATATGTGTTGGTTTGGGGATGAAGTGAAGCCGTGAGTCTTTGGGAGAGCACAAAACCGCTCCCCCCCCCCCGGTATGCTATATATTTGACTGTTATTTCTTGAGAACTACACAGCTTTGTAAATATGCAGCTTTTATTTATTCTATTTATTAACAGGATTGTTCTTTATTATATTCCAACAGATCTAAAGAGAGAAGCAAGTATCTGTCACATGTTGAAACATCCTCATATTGTTGAACTTTTGGAGACATACAGTTCTGATGGAATGCTTTATATGGTTTTTGAATTGTAAGTGTTATTTTTATTTTTATCATTCTTGGCTTACCGTACAAAATATGTGGGTTAAGGGCACAGTTAAACTGAACAAAACTGAGCTGCCAGATTAATATGAGGCCAATTAACTTTGGTTGTTACAGTAGTAAAATTAGTGTTGAATAATATCAAGTGGTTCTTTAAAGTCTGCTGAAAATAGATATAAACCTCACTTATATAAAACAGTCTTTGAAGAAAATTACACTAGATTGGTATATTGCATAATGAATGTAATACACATTCTCTAGAAAAGCAGAATTCTTTTAAACAAGTGGTTCCCATTTTTATGTCTAAACATTTAAATTGAATATGAAAACAGAATTTAAAATATTGGCTGTGTCTATTCCATAGCTGCTGTTATTCCCGTGAAAACCATTATATTTATATGAAGATGTTTATTTTGCAAAGTTTACTCACTAAAATATTTAATATGCACAGTTAGTAAAGAAAAAAAATCTCCAATTCACTTGTGATTGGGGAAAGAAATCCATTATTTCTTGCAATTACATCTAGTTTGTAAGCTGTTCTTTTATTTAGACCAGGGGTGGCCAAACTGCGGCTCGGGAGCCACATGCGGCTCTTTCACACATATTGTGCGGCTCCCAGCAGGGCAGCTGAGGAAGCGAAGGGGAGGCATGCCTCCCCGATCAGTCTTCCCTTCCCCAGCCAGTGTTCCCCTCCCTGGGTAGTCTTGAAATGGGGGGAGCAGAGAAAGAAAGAAACTTTAAATGCATTCTCAAAGCCCTCTTTCCACTGGCTGGCTTGGAGAAGGCATTTGTCTCTTTAAATCCTTTCTCCAAGGCAAGCCAGCTGGCTTGGTGGTGGGCTTAGAAGATGCATTTAAAGTTAAAGTTGCTTTCTTTCCATCTCTCCCTCTCTCCCCTATCTATTTGCTTTCTCTGTTTCTCTCTCTCTCCACCTTTCATTCTTTCCACCTCTCTGTTTCTCTCTCTCTTAGCCAGATAAATATAATTAACAAACAAATAAATATCTTTGGACAAATAAATATCATTATCAATATCTGTTTTTACTCCTTTTGTTTTTATTTTTGGCAGTCTCGTTTAATGCTAATAAAAGCAAATCTGCATATTTTCCAATAAAAACATGTGTGTAATATTTGTTCACATCTTGTGGCTCTCAAACATCTGACATTTATTCTATGTGGCTCTTACGTTAAGCAAGTTTGGCCACCCCTGATCTAGACTCTGCCAACCCAGTTATGCTGATCCATGATACTGTAACATCCAGATTCAACTCCTTGAACAAGCTGTACATTGGGTTGTTTTTGAAGAATTCTTGGAAACTTCAATTAATACAAAGTGTAGCAGCAATACTCCTGTCTGGAATCATTTGCTCAGAACACATAACTCTAGTGCTGTGTCAACTACACTGGTCACCTATTTGCTTCTGGACACAATTCAGAGTGCTGGCTATTTGCTTTAAAGCTCATTATGACCTAGGCCTTAGTGCTTAACTATACAACATCTCCCATATACCCCCATGTGCCAGTTATGTTCTTTAAACAGTCTTCTCTTTGTGGAGCCCTCTGTCAAGACTATCCAAACAGCAACAGCTAGGCAGTGTTCCCTCTAAGCTGAGTTAGTGTGAGTTAGCTCACAGGGTTTTAGCCTCCAGTTCACACATTTTTGTCTTAGCTCAGGAAGGATGGCTCCAGAGCAACTAATTTATGCAGTAGCCAAATCACTTGCTCACAACTTTAATGCCAGTACCTTACAAAGTAAAATTTTTGCTCACAAGACTCCACAGCTTAGAGGGAGCATTGGTCAGAAGTTTTTTCTGTAGTGGACCCAGTCCTTTGGAATGGCCTATCAGAGCGGGTGCCCTGACCTGTATAGCCCAGGCTAGCCCAATCTTGTCAGTTCTTGGAATCTAAGCAGGGTTGACCCTGGCCAATATTTGGAAAGGAGTCCTTCAAGGAATACCGGAGTCGTGACATGGAGGCAGGCAATGGCAAACCACCTCTGTCTCTTGCCTTGAAAACCCCATGGGGGTCACCATAAGTAAGCTGTGACATCATAGCAAAAAAATACACCCAAAAAACCAGAGTGGGTACCAAGAACCTTCCTTTGCTATATTCAAGAAGGCATATAAAACATTTTGCTAGAGGGCAAACTGTTTTGACAGACTTGGCTGTGTTTGTAATCTGGTTTATTGGGCTGTTATGTTTGTATCCTTACAACTTGCTACATTATTAACCACCTTGAGTCTATACACATAAGGCAGTATAGAAATATTTTAAATAACTAAATAGTCCTTATGTGAGCTTTGATTTCATCAATTAGTAAATTTAAAAGGGGGTTCAATAGGTAAATGCATACTAGACAGTTAGTTAGCTGTGCCCTTGTGTTCTAAAGTAGATATTCTTTTGTCTATTCAGGGATGTCATAAATACCACTAACTCTTGATTTCCCCTTTTTTTTACTCTGTTCAATCGTGAAAGAGAAGGGGATGGAAAATTGTAGACCTAATTAAGTTATCTAGTTTTTAGCTGAGCTTGTAAAGTGCATTTTTTTAAAAAAAATTCTGGGAAGCACTTGAAGAATTCTCAGGGGGAAAGAGAAGGAAATCATACTATGTTTATTGTGAGTCTATCTCCCTCTACTGGTGAGAAGTTAATTGTGCCACCAGATTCCATACTGATATAGGATATGTTTGCAGTTTGGAATTTCAGAGTACATTTTTGTTCAAAAAAGGTAAAACTAGTTTTTATGGTTAAAGGCAGTGTTAATACTAGAGACATATGTCAGAACAATAAAATCAATAATCAATGAAAACAAATGAAATAAATAAAAGCAAATTACTAGTAAGTAGTTGAGTTAAAATTGCTGGTCCCAAGTTTGTGGGGAAAACATAAAGGGGAACCTGATCTTACTGTATGTCGGCCTGTTTCCTTATTAATAGATTGGAAACAATTATGATCTATTTTACTGAGTTATAAAGGATGAATATAAATAGGAGCATGGTTTTCAAACATACACACGTGCTTTTCAAATAGAGTAGTAATCCCTGTACCTTCTGTCAAAATGCTGGGGAAATGACTTCTCTGTTTTCTCATGTTTCTGTTTAAATATTAGGAAAGTCAAAATAGCCTGTGACTTTAGATTAGTCAGTGCTTATTTTAACAGTGTATTTAAGCCTGAGAGTAAACCTTAGTTACCAGCGCTAAAACCTACTAGCATAAAATACTGAAAAAGTTGTACACTGCATCCAAACCTAGCCGTTTATTCTAGTAAGCGAAATACATAAGGTAGTATGTGGGAGGTAATATGGGAGGACAACAGAAGCAATACAAAGGAAGCCTACAGTGTCCTCAGAAGTGTGTAGCATAATGTTGTTAATTAGCTACAGCCATGTTGTACAGTATTTTCTCACACAGAGATCATCTCGTCGTAGGAAAAAAAACACATGTATTGTAGTGTATGAAGTATGTGTTTCTGGCCAAAAGCATATACATTGAGCAGCTTTTGCTGAGAAAAAACAGTGGTATAAAATGGCCCTTAGAACATGATAAAGGGTAGAAGGCAGGGTGCTCTCTGTTTTCATAGCTTTCAAACAATGTTAAAACTACCTTCCCAACTTGCGTTTGTTGTTTCTTCACTCTTTCTCACCCTGCAACTAGGGTTTTAGATTGCATATTGTGTTAGTGTCGAACTCTGACACTTTTGTAGATGCCTTTCATTTCATTTTATTTTAATTTATTTTGCACGTAGGCTGCCATGTGTTTGTGAGTGGATAAATTTAGTTGTACGGCGTTTCAAAGTATCTGTTTAATATCTATAGGAGTGTATGTATATGATGTATTAGAATATAAAATCACACAGACTCTATTAATGTTAAAAATATTTTCTCTTTCTTTTTAGCAGTCACTCATACACCATAAATAAATAATATTGGAACTGTTTCCCCAGAACTCGTCTAAACCCTAAGTAGAATGCATTATTTTGCTGATAGTACAATGTGTTTTATACATGTAAAATTATAGCATTATTATTATTGGAAACTCTGTTTCTAGTGTTACAAATACATGTTTTACTTCTTTTTATGTGCAGTATGGATGGTGCAGATCTCTGCTTTGAAATTGTAAAGAGAGCAGATGCTGGTTTTGTATACAGTGAAGCTGTAGCCAGGTATGTATTATTTTATCTTGCCTGGCAGGATAGTAAAGGGGAGGTTAATAATGAGTATTTTTTATTTTGTTTAGACTGCTTTTGTTCTGCTAGAATAACTTGCCTCTCAAGGTCTGCTTGTTGAATACTCATTGAAAGGAGAAGCACTGCAATGCAACATACAAGGGTTAAAAATTGAAAGGGGTGGTTGGGGTCATTTTGAGCTTCAAACTGGATGAGCTTAAAAATTATCAATTTATGTGGGATATAATACTTCAATTCCAGTATAGCCTCATCAACTTATCACATTTTCACTGGCCTCATATTGTTACTTTTCATTAAAAATGTGGGTAAACCAAAAATTTCAAAAGAATCAAAGGGCAGGATCCAGCCATAGTTAGCACATTCAAGTTAACACGAGCCCTGCTGTTTCAGACCAAAGATCTATCTAGTCCAGTATTATGTTTCCAATTACGCTCAACCAGATGTTTCCAGATAATCTACAAGTGGGGCATAAAGGCAACAACTGTCTCCTGCTGTTGCTCCCTGGCATCTGATATTCAGTGATTGATCATGAACTTGTTTAATCCTCTTTGGGGACAGGTTAGCCAGTGACCGTAGCCATATCTCGGTACAGTGAGTTTCATACATTATGTGCTTTTGTGAAGAAGCTGTGTTGATTTTTGTAGCAAACAATTCCTTTGTGATTGACATCAGTGATATCATTGCTCATCTGGATATTGCTCCAAATTCCTCTCTGTATGTTTATCCCTGTTTGTCAAGACAACACAAATATCACAGCACTTTTGTAAGTTATGGGGGTAGTCTTTCATTTTCATTATCAGTATCATGCATTATTTACATTTTAGGATAAGATTTGTCCATTCCGTTAGTTCAGACTGTCTGATGTTATGACCGTACTTTTAAGCTGACCAAAGGATATGCAAGCAAGGGCTAATAGATGAGCAATCAATCATAAACTTTACAGAGAGTTTTCAAGGACGTGCAACTTTAGGCAACATAGGAGCAAAGCAGGAAATTGGTAGACAGTGTATTGCAGGTTTGTAATGTGTCTGACACGTGATTGGGGTGCACTGACTTGGTGGTGCAGTAAAAATGTTGTAATAAGTTATTGGGAAAGGGGTGTCAGTGAAGTGTATGAATAAAGCAATAAATATGAAAGGAAGAATAATATTATGGGAGCAACATTTATTACAATTCAAACAAGATCTTAAATAATGGAATATCTCCAGTTTAATTACCTTGGTTGAATATGGGCGCGCTATTTAGTTACTTTATTAAAAATATTTATATCCTACTTTTCTGCCATACCCAAGGTGACTTACAAAATGTAATAGTTAAAACCCAAATTTAATCTCTTTTTCCAAATGCAACATGCTGTGCTACCCCTTCCATTTTTAGAAAATGAAAAAAGTCATGGGATCAAGACATAATCAGCTGTTCTCAATGTATGGGAAACCTGAGTGAAGAAATTATCACCTTCAGTCTCTCTTAATTAAGAGCATCCCCTCTTTTTTGATATCTCTGTATTTCAGCCATTCAAGGTTTGGGAATCTGTTGTTCTCCCTCTGAGGAGGAGGACATCTTAAACGGGTGATTCCCACCATCCATTTCAGGGAGCCAGGAAGTAATTTTTTCAGCTTCCTGTATTCAGCCTTTGGGAGTCACCCTCTCAGGTTGTTTTCTGCCTCTAAAGAGAGAGCAGCTCTGGAGACAGCACTCCTTCTCATTTCCTCAGTCCTTTTTAGATATTTCTCTAATCTACGATTTCCCTTGTGATTAATTACTTCCTTCATGAGCTCTAATTCTTCCCCCCTCTCCCCCTCCTTCCCACCCTGTTTCCGAGTCTTGGAGAACAGAGAGCGGGAGCAACAAGTGGCAAGTGCCGGAAGCAATTGGGCATGGCAAGGAAAAGTGACAGCCACTTTGAAATGGCACGCAAGGCTGAAGAAGATGGATTTCTCTCAGCAGGGGAGGCAGACCCTTCTCTCACTGAAGGGGGAGATTGGATGGTACAAGGGAGACTGTTGAGCTCAGCATGGCCCAAATGCGGTCTGATCCGTCAACCGTGGCCGACCCCTTTTTGCCTAGAAAAAAAGCACACAAAAAAGAAGCACTGAATTGTGCTGAGACATTTAACTGATTTGAGCCACTCAGCTTCTGGTGGCAGCCATTTTGATGAGCCTCATATGGTGGAACACTCTCCTGGTGAGGCACCCACAACACAGAGCAACCAGGGAAACAGCAAAGACACTTTATGGCGGCCCCTGACCTACGGCTGAGCTGCAGCTAGCTGATCAATGACAAATAGGCTGCATGGCCACTGCAGACAATGATGCAACTTATTTGGAGGCTACCATTCAAGCCAGCCCTGGTGATGTATGGCCTTTGGGCTCTTTTCAGTGCCCTCCTGATCTCTTGGATTTCCTTAAGCCGGTGATGAGGGAGGAATTAAGGGACTTTAGGCATAGCCTCACTCCCGATCTCCTTAGGAGCCACAGAAAATCAAGATCGCCCTTAAAGCAAAGTCATTCCTCCTCCTCTTCCTCCCCTCTCTGGGATAGAGGTAAGACTGGCAGATATGAGCCATCTTGCCATCAGATTTGGCCAACCAAGCCAGCCCAAAAGGAGACCATAGCCACCTCTATGAAAAGGCTACATGCTACCCTAGACAGGGATTTAGTTTCTTCTTCAAGTCCAGAGTCAGAGGAAAGGGGAAAAGGAGTTTTTATCACATGAGCAAGACAAAGAGATCTGAGAGATCCCAGATCAGTATAATAGTTTTTTTAAGGCAGAGGATTACCAATATTTACTGTCCAAAACTGTCTGCTTTAGATCTACAGGAAACCCCAAAAAAGGAGGACATGGATGCCACTTAGGGTGAACAAAAATCTAGACCCAAAGGGAATATAGAGTTCTTCCCCAGGGCAGATCCTCTAGAAAGAGTAGTTCCCTTCCCAGAGTATTTTGAGTGGCACCTCAAATCGGAATAGGCTAACCCTCTGGCAACTAAACAATGCCCAAACCTTCTTGAGAAAATGTATGCCCTGCCTTCATTTGTCAGTGAGTTTTTGCAGGTACCACTGGTGGATGCACCTGTCGCAACACTTCAGCCTTCAGGTTTCTTATCAGAGGATACTCAAGGCAACATTTGTGACACTCTTGATTAAAAGGCAGTGTTCACTCTGAGGAAAGCTCATGGAGCTATGGCAATGAATGTTGATCAAGGTCTTGACAGCAGCTTCCATTATTTCTAAGGCAGCAATCATTTTGTCAAGGAAAATCTTACAACTAGTACTAGAAACCAACAAACGCCTCAAAGAAGGATCTTCTGGAGTCCTTAAGGCAGTTTCCTTTGTAGCAGATGCAACTCTAGATTATCTCACCTTCATGTCTAGAGCACTGGCATCAGGAGCTGCAGCAAGATTAACCCTGTGGCTCTGAGTAGGGCCAGATGACTTTCATTTAGAGGCCATTGTCCTCACCTACCCCTTCCAGGAAAACAAACATTTTTTGTGGTTGTCTGGATAAAATTCTGGTGGGGGAAAAAAGATAAAAGGAAAGCCAGGTTGAGAACCCTGAGACGTTCAGACAGGCGGCAATTCAGTGGGGCTTCCATTCGTTCCCAACATGTTTTGCCAAGATATAAGCAAGACCAAAGAAGATCTAATTGGAACCAGCCAGGACCATTTTATAAAAGAGGGGGCCAGCAGCCTAAATTCTTCAGATAGTTGGGACCTAAATCAGAAAGGTCTGACAGGACAGGCAAACAACCCAAAGTGTGGTGGCACTGACTTCCCGGTGGAGGGTAGACTACTTCTCTTCAACAAAACTTGGTACTGTCAAAGTAGTCTCCCAGGGCTATGCAGTTGAGCTCTCCAACCTTCCACTGGGACATTTCATCCAGTCTCCGATCTCCAAAAGACCAGAAAAATAGCAAAGGACCATTCATCTTCTTTCCATAGCAGTCAACAAGCCAGTGCCATTCTCAGAAAGGGGATCAGGAGTCTACACTATATTTTTTACAGTTCCAAAGAAGAGTGAAGAATGGAGGACCATTCTGGATTTGAAGTTCTTAAACAGATCCATCAAAGCAAGACACTTCAGAATGGAAACCTTGCATTCCATCATGAAGCTGGGGGGGTTCCTCACTTCGATTGACCTGGCCGAGGCATACCTCCACATTCCGATCTTCCCTGTACACAGAAAATATCTCTGTTTCTGTCTAGGGGAACATCACTTTCAATTCCGGGCACTCCCATTTGGTCTGGCCACAGCTCTGAGAGTGTTTTCCAAGGTTCTGATACCCATTGTTTGTCTGAGGCAACAAGGGATCCACATTCATCCTTACCTGGACAACCTTTGATTCAGTCCGGTACCAGAGACAAGATACACAGATGATGATTCAGTATCTTCAGAGTCATGGTTTCATTGTCAGTCTGCAAAAGAATTGCCTTTCCCCCACTCAATGCCTAGAACAGGGTGGCCAAACTGTGGCTTGGGAGCCACATGCAGCTCTTTCACACAGCTCCTGGCAGGGCGGCTGGAGAAGCTAAATACCATTGGCAAACAAATATCATTGGACAAATAAAAATCATTATCAATATCTGCTTTTACCGCTTTTGTTATTATTTTTGGCAGTCTTATTTAATGTCAGTCACTGTAGAACATATCAAGGGATCTGCCAACAACAAAGCAGAGTGGCTCATTAGGCAAACCATTGAAAAAGGGGAGTAGTCCCTGAAGAAGGAGATCTTTCTTCCGCTCATTAGTCAGTTTGGAAACCCTCAAGTAGACTTCCTCTCTTCACTGGAAAATCATCAAGTAAGTCGTTTCTTCTCAAGGTTTCATCATCCAGAGGCAGAGGTGACAGATGTACTGATCCTGATTACTCTGGGACCCGACATTACTGTTCACCTTCTCTCCTCTTCCAGTTCTACCAAGGATCCTAAGGAAGATCAAAATTCAGCAAGTGGACGTAATTCTAGTGGCTCTGTGTT